GGCCGGAGAGTCTATGACAATTCATACAAAAGGCGACTGTGCAGGACTAAAAGGCAAAAACCTACTTTTAAATATCTTTATAGTTTTACAAAGATAAAACCCTGTTTCCACCAACCTCACTGGGCATAAACCTTCTTTAAGGGTGTATTCAGACCTGCACATTTGCTCCACTTTAAACGAACCAGGATTAGTTTGGAACTCTGATCCGAATCTTTTATGCAGGTCTGAATACACACTAACGAATCCTGGTCCGGACCAAAGAACCGAACCGAGACCCACTTTTTGAGGTGGTCTCGGTCCGCTTCCAAACGAATTCTGGTCCAAGTCGAATCAGGTCTGAATACATCCGGTGTCGATCCGACACAACTCCAAGATACGTGCGCATTTTTTGGGCTTAACAAGCAGCAGACAGAAACTGAGGAATTAGCCATGCAGCGGCTAACTATGATGCTAACTATGATGCTAACGCTACACAACAACAATGAGCCGTGTGCAGACCTGGAGCAGTGAGGAGACGCTGTGCAACAGGCTTATGGAGTTAAAACTGTTCACAGTATACAGTGATGTTAATGCAGCATCTTCAAACCATTTGCATTATTAAAAACCTGACACTGTTTGACTCACGTCTCAAAGAGCAATATTCCGCATCATGTAGTGAATTGTGTTCTTTGGTTCCTACCTGATCCTCAGCGTCTGTTTGTCCCGTGGTTATTATAGATCCATGGTTTATCCACGATGCTGAACAGGGCCGTTATTATAATAGATCCATGTGTGGGACAGAGTTATTATCATAGATCCATGTGTGGGACAGGGTTATTATCATAGATCCATGTGTGGGACAGAGTTATTATCATAGATCCATGTGTGGGACAGAGTTATTATCATAGATCCATGTGTGGGACAGAGTTATTATCATAGATCCATGTGTGGGACAGTTATTATCATAGATCCATGTGTGGGACAGTTATTATCATAGATCCATGTGTGGGACAGAGTTATGATCATAGATCCATGTGTGGGACAGAGTTATTATCATAGATCCATGTGTGGGACAGTTATTATCATAGATCCATGTGTGGGACAGAGTTATTATCATAGATCCATGTGTGGGACAGGGTTATTATAATAGATCCATGTGTGGGACAGAGTTATTATCATAGATCCATGTGTGGGACAGAGTTATTATCATAGATCCATGTGTGGGACAGAGTTATTATCATAGATCCATGTGTGGGACAGGGTTATTATCATAGATCCATGTGTGGGACAGGGTTATTATCATAGATCCATGTGTGGGGCAGAGTTATTATCATAGATCCATGTGTGGGACAGGGTTATTATCATAGATCCATGTGTGGGACAGAGTTATTATCATAGATCCATGTGTGGGACAGAGTTATTATCATAGATCCATGTGTGGGGCAGAGTTATTATCATAGATCCATGTGTGGGGCAGAGTTATTATCATAGATCCATGTGTGGGGCAGAGTTATTATCATAGATCCATGTGTGGGACAGTTATTATCATAGATCCATGTGTGGGGCAGAGTTATTATCATAGATCCATGTGTGGGACAGTTATTATCATAGATCCATGTGTGGGACAGTTATTATCATAGATCCATGTGTGGGGCAGAGTTATTATCATAGATCCATGTGTGGGACAGAGTTATTATCATAGATCCATGTGTGGGGCAGAGTTATTATCATAGATCCATGTGTGGGACAGTTATTATCATAGATCCATGTGTGGGGCAGAGTTATTATCATAGATCCATGTGTGGGACAGTTATTATCATAGATCCATGTGTGGGGCAGAGTTATTATCATAGATCCATGTGTGGGACAGTTATTATCATAGATCCATGTGTGGGGCAGAGTTATTATCATAGATCCATGTGTGGGACAGAGTTATTATCATAGATCCATGTGTGGGGCAGAGTTATTATCATAGATCCATGTGTGGGACAGTTATTATCATAGATCCATGTGTGGGACAGAGTTATTATCATAGATCCATGTGTGGGGCAGAGTTATTATCATAGATCCATGTGTGGGACAGTTATTATCATAGATCCATGTGTGGGGCAGAGTTATTATCATAGATCCATGTGTGGGACAGAGTTATTATCATAGATCCATGTGTGGGACAGAGTTATTATCATAGATCCATGTGTGGGACAGAGTTATTATCATAGATCCATGTGTGGGACAGAGTTATTATCATAGATCCATGTGTGGGACAGAGTTATTATCATAGATCCATGTGTGGGACAGTTATTATCATAGATCCATGTGTGGGACAGGGTTATTATCATAGATCCATGTGTGGGACAGTTATTATCATAGATCCATGTGTGGGACAGTTATTATCATAGATCCATGTGTGGGACAGGGTTATTGATTGACTGCGGAACCTTCCGCAGTCAACCATTGGTTTTGTATTTCTTTATTCCGTCATTTTTTTTGACACGTTTCACAGCTTTCACATTTTCAACAATTTCCACAAGTTATACATCAAAACGTTCCACATGTTTGGGAGATTATTGCTATTACTTTTGGGACTTCAGCGATTTCCGGTTTTTCCGCAATCGGACAAAAATCTGCATTGAGAATTCTGCAATGCATTTTAATAGGCCCATGCATTTTAATAGGACTTCAGCTCTTTCAGACATTTCTACAGTTTCAATGATTCAACAGTTTCAAGGATTCAACAGTTTCAAGGATTTCAGCAGTTTCAAGATTTCAAGAGTTTCAAGGACTTCAACAGTTTCAAGGACTTCAGCAGTTTCAAGGACTTCAGCAGTTTCAAGGACTTCAGCAGTTTCAAGGACTTCAGTGTAATCATGCAACCTAATAGGGATTTTTTCATGTAAACCAGTATAATGCAACTTAATAGGGATTTTTCCATGTAAACCAGTATAATGCAACTTAATAGGGATTTTTCCATGTAAACCAGTATAATGCAACTTAATAGGGTTTTTTCATGTAAACCAGTATAATGCAACTTAATAGGGTTTTTTTTCATGTAAACCAGTATAATGCAACTTAATGGGGATTTTTCCATGTAAACCAGTATAATGCAACTTAATAGGGGTTTTTACATGTAAACCAGTATAATGCAACTTAATAGGGTTTTTTCCATGTAAACCAGTATAATGCAACTTAATAGGGTTTTTTCCATGTAAACCAGTATAATGCAACTTAATAGGGTTTTTTCCATGTAAACCAGTACAATGCAACTTAATAGGGATTTTTCCATGTAAACCAGTATAATGCAACTTAATAGGGTTTTTTACATGTAAACCAGTATAATGCAACTTAATGGGGATTTTTCCATGTAAACCAGTATTATGCAACTTAATAGGGATTTTTCCATGTAAACCAGTATAATGCAACTTAATAGGGTTTTTTCATGTAAACCAGTATAATGCAACTTAATAGGGTTTTTTTTCATGTAAACCAGTATAATGCAACTTAATGGGGATTTTTCCATGTAAACCAGTATAATGCAACTTAATAGGGGTTTTTACATGTAAACCAGTATAATGCAACTTAATAGGGTTTTTTCCATGTAAACCAGTATAATGCAACTTAATAGGGTTTTTTCCATGTAAACCAGTATAATGCAACTTAATAGGGTTTTTTCCATGTAAACCAGTACAATGCAACTTAATAGGGATTTTTCCATGTAAACCAGTATAATGCAACTTAATAGGGTTTTTTACATGTAAACCAGTATAATGCAACTTAATGGGGATTTTTCCATGTAAACCAGTATTATGCAACTTAATAGGGATTTTTCCATGTAAACCAGTATAATGCAACTTAATAGGGATTTTTCCTTGTAAACCAGTATAATGCAACTTAATAGGGTTTTTTTCATGTAAACCAGTATAATGCAACTTAATGGGGATTTTTCCATGTAAACCAGTATTATGCAACTTAATAGGGATTTTTCCATGTAAACCAGTATAATGCAACTTAATAGGGTTTTTACATGTAAACCAGTATAATGGAACTTAATAGGGGTTTTTACATGTAAACCAGTATAATGGAACTTAATAGGGGTTTTTACATGTAAACCAGTATAATGCAACTTAATAAGGATTTTTACATGTAAACCACTATAATGTAACCTAATAGGGGTTTTTACATGTAAACCAGTATAAAGCAACTTAATAGGGATTTGTACATGTAAACCAGTATAATGCAACCTAATAGGGATTTTTCCATGTAAACCAGTATAATGCAACTTAATAGAGATTTTTCCATGTAAACCAGTATAATGCAACTTAATAGGGATTTTTCCATGTAAACCAGTATAATGCAACCTAATAGGGATTTTTCCATGTAAACCAGTATAATGCAACCTAATAGGGATTTTTCCATGTAAACCAGTATAATGCAACCTAATAGGTTGCATTATACCACCAGACCAAGACCCAAACGAAGACTCAGACCACCACCAGATAATGACCACAGACCAGGTTTCCTTAGTTACAGGAACCAAATTGTTTCAGCGGTGAGGGGATTTTTCAGTTTCAAGGACACTTTCAATACATTCAGTAGTTTCAAGGATTTCAACTGTTTAAGAATTTAACCAGTTTCAAGGATATCAGGAGGTTCAAGGATTTCAGGAGTTTCCACACTTTCAACAGTTTCCAGGTTTAAAAAAAGTTTCAAGGATTTCAGGAGTTTCAATGTTTCAACAGTTTCAAGGATTTCAGGAGTTTAAAGGTTTCAACAATTTCAAGGACTTCAGGAGTTTCAAATATCTATCAAGTATTTTAACAGTTTCAAGGCCTTTTAAAGGATTTCAAGGATTTTTTTTAGCAGATTTCCACATTAGATCTGTTCCGCAGTCAATCGCAATGGCTTCAGCCATTGCAAGTTTCTAGTTATCATAGATCCATGTGTGGAACAGGGTTATTATCATAGATCCATGTGTGGGACAGGGCACGGAGCACACAGTCTCCTTCGGCTTTCTCCTCACGCAT